ATTGTTGTTGTTTTTTATAGCGGATTATAATCGCACTAAAACATATTAAAAGGTAAGTGAATTATAACAGCGCAAACTTTTCTGTAACCTTATAGTGCTGTGCATTATTTGTTAAAACCTTTAAGGTGATGTTCTAACTGACTGACAGGTGCAAGATGCGTGAGGCCAGAAAACACGACTTAGCTTTCAGTTAGGATGAACACAATTTATATAATTATAATTAATTTATAGACAAAGGTCTGTGGTTCTGCCTACTGTATAATGACTTTATCTTGCTGGAGTTTATGCCGTTTCACTTAACTTTAGGACGCATTAATGCTGCTCTGTTTTGTGATAAAATAATAACAGCGGGGCATTAAATAAATGCACATTTTCCGTGGAGAAGCAATTTGGGACAGTCTGCTATTTTTATTTGATGGAAGACAAAAACATATGATTGAAAAAAAAAACAGCCCATTCTTAAAAAGGATCAGTTAATGTTTTTGTTTTGTAATCTAAATTAATCATTGAGGCGAATATAATTTAGGGCAGGCCTATTTATTTTATTAATTTTATTTAGTTTATTCTGTTTTTCTACGCTATTGGAAACACTTCAGGGGCCTCATGTACGAAGACTTGCGTGGAAATCATACTAAAACATTGCGTACGGAAGAAAGACAAGTTGGAATCATTAATAAGTCTGTGCATTCTATTCTATTTGCACATTTATTGAATGGAAATGTTTCTGATTCACGCATGCAAATTCATCTTTAGATAGTGTCTTTATAGCAATGTACGTGCAGTAGATAGCTCCGATTACATTGGGACAACCGGCGATCGCTGCAAATTGTGCTTTAATGTTTGGCTGGTCAACTGCATGGTATGGAAACCTTATATACCTGCTAGATAAACCCGTCTCATACAGCTGCCATTGCACAGCTTAAAGACACTTTGTAGAGTGCAAGTTACACAATTGCCTCTAGGAGTCGCCAATGGAAATAAAACAGACACGGACAAAAAAATGTGCGTACACCATCCATGAAGTTGGCGTGGAGCTGCGCACACTCACGTTCATTTCATCATTAGTAAATCCAAACGTGAGCGATTCTGAGCGTGAAACCTGGCATATGCAAAGTTTTTGTGCATACGCAGTGTTGATACATGAGGCCCGAGGAGTTTGAAGATGCTCTACTGTTATGTTCTGTTATTAATATGCTAGCATGTTAAAATAAATCAGTATTTTAAAATGCAATATTTAATATGTCAGACACAAAATAGACACGTCAATTTTTTTTAAAAATGTAATAATAATTTAATATTAATTTGACCAGTTAACAGTTGTCGGTTTGCAAAATTAACAGAAATGAGCATCCCTATTTTAAATTGTTCAATAAAAATGAGATTGACAAAACTACTGTCATGTGTAAGTTGTAGCCACAAGCACAAACACTATGTCTAAACAAAAATGTCTCTACTTGCATTAGTTCAACTGTACAACATAATAGAAAAAAGCAATTGTAGTATAATACTTACTAAAATCTGAGAGTCCAAGGAAACAAACTTCTTAAACCATCACATGCCCGAATAAAAAATATACTATTTCAGTTATTCTACAGTTCAACGTGACACGCAGAACTTTCTTCTTCAACCTTCCAAGACTTTCAAGATTTTTCTACTCCACCCAAAAACCTGAAGGAATTTTGCCTGAAGATATTAGGGCCCATTTTTTAACACATCAAGCTGTGTTTGTCATTGTCAAATATATGCCTTTTTATATGCACTATTGACCAACACACAAAATGTATCATTGGAAACCAAATGTTTAATAGTTTTGTATATTTTTAATAGTAATCCAACTAGGTTGATTAGGGTCAAGGGTCAGTGATTAAATCCAAAGGTTTAGCATGCTGTGTAACGTTAAGTTAACTGTTAATTTGAAAAAGTTAGAATGCCAAGTCACAACTTGTTCAATCTTAACACTGTTTGGGTTATTGTGGACAAAGGAGTCGAACGGTGCATTGTACCATATTGGATTGCACGAAAGGTCTGTAAGCTTTGGAAGCCAGCAGTGGTACGGTGGGGAGATCAAAAGAGCTACTGCCCTGTGACGGACTGACGGTCCATCGGAGGCAGCTGGGCGTGTGTGTGTTCCAAGACTCCAAAATCAGGTCAGAATCTATCTAACATGGACCACCCGTGTGACCACACACAAACAAAAGAGCTAGCAAGAAAAAGAAAAATCCGACTGGAGACAGAGACTGAAGCTCAACGCAAACCGACACAAGTTCCCACTAACTGTCCATGTGAGCCAGCGGATTTTGATGAGTTATGACAATTCATGTGTAGTGTTAGAGCACTCTTGCTCGAAATAAACCAGCTTTGGATCGAGCGAAACCACGTTTGTATAGACTTCAGCAACTCTGACCAAAACAAACACAATGGGCCTGGAACAGTCACTGACGGTTAAATTAAGAGCACATGTAACACTACTCTCCCTGTCAAAACCTTTGCACTTTTGCTTATTCTCTCTTTCCCCTCAAGAATTCATGCGGCCAATGCTAATAATAGTGCGTAAACTACTCTTCCACATAATTTCTTCCTTTCTTTCTTTCTCCATCAGTCACTGTTTTTAGCAAGCAAACTGCTGCTTCACAGGACTGCAAAGAACATGCTGATTTGTTTATTTTTGGGATGAACACTTTCATACGGTGCTAAAAATTGAGGGAACGTAGCCAGACAAAATAAGATGGTGGGAGACAATCCACAACATCTGAGAGGCAACGGGATATGAAGTCCACGTCTTACTTAAACGACTTTGTTTATCTGAAATGGATGGCTTAGGGTAAGAAAATGATAGGATTATTTTCACTTTTGGAAAATCCCATTTCTTTAATCTTCACATTAAGACACATCTCAAACAACCAACTATACAACTAATCTACTAATCAAACATGCCATCTTGGCTTAAAGATAAAATTAGGTACAATCTCTGCCATCTAAACAAAAATATGCTGACATGCTCAATCTTATCAACTTTCGCCTTGCTCTTAACCTTTCATAGTGAGCTCCAGGTTTATGAAATTGTGAACTGAAATGACATTAAATTGAACTCTCTAGCCCTGGAGGCGGCAATTTGGAGTTTTCGTCTTGCTTCATTACTTTCTGCAGAATCTCTGCCAAATAAAACCCACACATTTCTAGTTGAGATGTGTGTGAGAGGGGGAGAATGACAAACTCATATGTGTGCCTGAACATGCCTTTTAAAATCCAACCCCTGCACTCGGCCAGTCTATTGTTAGAGAACCAGTGAACAACTTCCCTTCCTTCCTTGACAAAAGAAAAGAGATACACCTTCTGTGTGCAGTATGTGTGTAAGAGAGAGAGAGAGAGAGAGAGAGAGAGAGAGAGAGAGAGAGAGAGAGAGAGAGAGAGGGAGAGAGGGAGAGAGAGAGGGGGGAGAGAGAGAGAGAGAGAGAGAGAGAGAGAGAGAGAGTTATCGTACAGGAATATTACATAACTTTTCTGGACATTTGTTTGAAATGAAAAACAGCTTATTTGCATTTGTGACATGTAAATCAAACATTTGCACAACACCCATAATGTAAGATTATGTTGACGTTTGCAGTCTAACACAGCACACTGTATGACAAGATCAAGCACAATACTCCTATCCAAATTAGATTATCAGATATATAATCTTAAATCAAACACAAGTCTGAAATATGTATCAGGGAAAGCAGAATAAAAATTTGAATCAAAATTCAGGGTGATAATTGCAATCTCCCCAATTTCAATAGCACATTTCCCCTGAATTAAAAAAAACTTTAACATAATAACAATCAATAACATAATAAATATGCAAATACACAAATATCATTCAGTTATTGGGTGAAAATTAACACTTGTTATCATTCAATGAAACTTATTGAAGCATCACTACAACAACAACAACAAAATAACGAGTCATTCACTGTGAATTTAGACTACATATAAAGTGTGACTGAGGCAAATATGGTTTGCTCATTCCTTCAGGGCCAACTTATAATAAGTTCCATATATTGTTTACCCTGTTACTTAAAATATTAAGCCTGAAATCAGATACAAGTATGACTTCAAAACAACATTAGCACTATTTAATAAACAATGTATATAAACTATAAGTTATATAAAAAATGTTGTACTTTTATAGACATTGGTTACTAAAATGATTTCACTGTTTAGAATCTGCAAATAATACATTTCTGAAGCTATATTATTAAAGAGAAAGTCAGAATGTGCGAATATAAAACCAAATTTACCTCAATAGAAGTATGCTCAAGATACATTGGCTTAGAAAATACACACGAGAGTCATTTGTTCTGGAAAACTGCTCGCTGAAGGAGTTCTGATTCACTGAATTGAACCGGCTCATATGAGTCATTTCTTTGAGTAGCTGGACTACTCTGGCCGCGCTGTATGTACTTCACCACAAAGAAACTCATACAAGCGTACTTCTCTAGTGTACACTGCACTGTTTGCCCAGTTGCAGTGATGAAGTATACTTTTATCAGCAGTTCAGTAATCTTAAGAGACCATGAAAATAACACCATGACAAGGTAAATTATTTTCAAGCTAAATGGTGGTCGATTCCTTACTCTAAAGACAGCCTCAGTAAGCAGCACCCAGAAGTGAATCTATAAATACGATCTAAAAATATATCAACTATTGGAGTTGTTTGTAAACACGCGTGCGCAAAGTTTACCAGTCACACAGGCTGGAGACCCATATTTTACTCATAAAAGCTACAAATGTGCATGCATCTCATTCATAAGCAAGTTTACTTTAAAGTCGACCCTGCTTTGAAATACACGATCTTCTGCTTTGTTTACGTTTTAACAGCATCTATAAATCAATAAATACATACTAACATAAATATGTTTGTTCTAAATTATATTCGCATATCTATAGCTCGAGCATGAGCACGAAACCATATGTTCTCTACACAGCCCCCCTCCATCATCCATACAGCCTTGCATACTCACCTCCAAATCGGTGTTCTTCGCGGGAAAAGAACGGCGAAGTAGGTTGGAAGGAGGGTATTTGACTGGCTTAGATTTTTGCCCACGTTGAAATGACAAACTGTGCACAGGGTTAAACGCTTTCCTTGTGCTCCCTCATGTTGTACGAGGTTAGAGCCGCGTCCGCACAAGTTGGGCTCAGCTGACTGCCTCAAACACACGAGGGTGAGGAACTCTTTCAGCCCCGCCCCTTTACGCACAAGGCACACCTCCTCAGCAAAACCCGCCTATTTTAACCCATTGTGCTAAAATTCAAGCGTGCACCTGGATCATTTACAACTGGCAGTCTTAAAAATAAAAGCTCTTAGTCTTAATAGGCATTGACGGTTCTGTGAAGAACCTTTAACAGAGCCTTAACATGCCATAAAATGCTATCTACAGTGAAAAAATGTTCCATTAGATTTTTTTAACCACGAAGAACTGTTCAACAAAAGGTTCAACAAAAATTACATGACTTCACTGCAAGTAGGAGGAAAAAATAGTTGCACTTTGTCCCAATATTAAGAAATAAAAAGGAAGGATTACCGCATCCTTTCAGTGTAAATGTAAAAACATGTGGTAGCACATGTTTCAGACATTTTAAGATATCATCTGCCACTCTAAAGGGATAGTTCACCCATAAATGAATATTCTGTCATTTGCCCACCCTCCACTTGTTTCAAACTTCTTTAAGTTGCTGTCTTTTGTTAAACACAAAAGAACCTATTTTGAAAAATGTTGAAAAACCTGTAACTGTTTTCTTCTACATCATGTTTTATTTGAATTCCGGTGGTTTTTATTTTTAAAAAAAATTCAAAACATCTTATTTTGTGTGCCACAGGAAAAAATACTACAGGGTGAAACTGGTGAAGCATTTTAATTCTGCAAATTTAAATTTTGGAGTGAACTAACCCTTTAAATGTGTAATCGCTCTACAATTGGGAGAGGTTTCATTTATTCTTCCAAAGATGGGGATGACCCACACGCACAAAAAAATGACTATTTTCTTTGACAGCATTTATTTCTATGGATGTCATTGGCTTTTGGTTTCAAACATTCTTCAAAACATCTTGTGCCACAGAAAAAAGAAAATATTCTCTTTTCTCAAATTTTTTGATTGGCTACAGAAAAACACTTTTATCTAATGACTTACCTAATTAACCAACACAATCTCACAGCGATTCTTTTTGATTTAGTGGATAATTTGTATGAATTCGTATCATCTCATTTATACAATTTAGTACGATTTGCTTATCCCACAATGACATTTATATTAAGGGATGGGGTTGGGTGCCATGCCTCCTTTTAAAATTGATTTATAGCGCTTTTCTGGACACTGAAAAGGGCTTTACATATTTTTGGGGGAATCTCCTCATCCACCAACAGTGTGCAGAATGACGTGACGCAGCCATACAATGCCAGATGGCACACCACACTACACATTATTGATGGAGAGGAGACAGAGTGATGAAGTCAATTGTTAAATGGCGATGGTTAGGAGACCATGATGGACAGTAAGAAAATTTGGCCAGGATAACGGAATTAAGCCCCAACTGTTTTTCGACCACAGAGAGTCAGGATCTCGGTTTAGCGTCTCATGCAAAAGACAGCGCTTACTGATCAGTAGAGTCTCCTTCACTATACTGGGGCATTAAGACTGACACAGACTGCAGGTTGAGCGCTCCCTGCTGGTCTAACTAACACCACACACAGACACATTTAGTGTGTATGATCTCAAATTTTGCTTTTAAACTGAAATGTATTACATGAATTACAGCACATGAGGCCAGCACTACAGCTGATGATTTCTAATATTGGCTGGTGATCAGGTTACATCTTCTAAACATCTGCCATCTCTGATACATATTCCATATGAGGCTTTCATTGCTTTTAGGAGCCAAAGTGTCACATGTTGGAGATCTGGAGCAGTTCCAGAAGTGGTAGACACTGGGTGTTGACAGAATCAGAGTAGAAGGGCTTCTTTGGGATTACAGTCCTGTCATGAAGTGTGGCTCTCAGCCAGTCCTGGTGGGACTAATCTTCGAAGTGTTTTTTCTTAGCATGTATGATTATAATGTTCATTTAGAATGAACATAATTGTGTTTGTAGTGACTTATAGCATAACACAAGCATAACAACTGGAAAAGCTAATTCAGATTTAGTGTTAATTTAACACATTTGAGGAAAATGAAAAAGAAAGTTCAAACAAATTTCATGTTTAATAGTTTACTAAAAACTGTGAAAACTAAAAAAGTGATTTGCAATAAATTGGCTAAATACTTTTGTTTTGTTCGAAATTTGAAAGGAAAACACAAAAAATGTTGTCAACATCACTTAACATCACTTAAGTTAGGACATTTTAATTCTAATGTCATCTAATGTCAACCTTCAGGACATTGGTACATTTGTGTTTTTGCAGTATTGTTATTTTAAATGAATAATGTTTCTAGGATGAACTTTAACTTGATTGAAGCAACTTTGGTTTATTTTTCATACATTGTTTTGGTCAGATATGATGCAAAAGGCTTCTAAACAACATTTATTAGTTTGTTAATCTTTAATTTGAAATAAAATATCAAGTCATACATTTTAACATAAGTTTGTTTACATCTGCACCAAATAAAAATGGTATCTTTTATTCTTGAACGTATAGTTTCACTATCGGATGATGTACTAGTCAGAAAATAGTACACTTTTGTCTGTTTAAGATTTGTATTACAGTTTATTCAGATACAATATATATATTTTTAATGCTTTACATGGTTAATAAACAAAGCACAACTATTTATTTGGTCATTTAAACAGTACGCCTACATTGTACACTGGGTCACCATAGTAGAATGAACCACCAACTATTCCGGCATATGTTTTACACAGCCAATGCGCTCCAACACCCAACACTGGGAAACACTCATATACTCTCTATTCACACATGCATTCATACACTACGGCCAATTTTGTTTACCCAACTCACCTATGTTCACCAGTGTTTGGACTTGTGGGGGAAACTAGAGCACCCAGAGGAAACACATGCCAACACGAGGAGAACATACAAACTCCACACAGAAATGCCAACTGGCCCAGCTGGGACTCGAACCAGCAACCTTCTTGCTGTCAGGTGACAGCGCTAACTACTGAGCCATCGTACCACCAAAGTTATTATTTACTTTACTATTTATTATTTACCTTACTAAAATTGCAAGGTCTTAAAAGCAACAAGATGACTTTACTTAAATAAAGGAGTAAACCAATTGTAACCTACAAACTGTTATTTATTCATTAATTTCATTCCTTTTCTTTTTGGCTTAGTCCCTTTATTAATCTGGGGTCGCCAGAGCGGAATGAACCGCCAACTTATCCAGCATATGTTTTACGCAGCGCATACCCTTCCAGCTGCAACCCATCACTGGGAAACATCCATACACACTCATTCCCACACATACAAGGACAATTTAGCCTATCCAATTCACCTATACCACATGTTTTTGGACATATGAGGGAAGCACCTTGAGAAAACCCACTCGAACACAGGGAGAGCATGCAAACTCCACACAGAAATGTCAACTGACCCAGCCGGGGCTTGAACCAGTGACCATCTTGCTGTGAGGCAATTGTGCTACCCACTGTGTTTTTATTAAAGTTTTACATTCACTCACACACACGCACACACAAAAAAACAGATTAAAAAGATAATACATAAATAATAATAATAAAGGATAATAATGAAAGCTTGAAAAAAAGATAATACATTAAAAAAGGGAAAGTAGATAATTGAATAAATAAACTCTAGTACAAAGACAATAACTACAGCAAAGCCCCTGACAGCATTTCAAAGATCAAGTATGTATCGATTAATTTGCAGGTCTGTTGGAAAATGTCTGATTTCAACTACAAATCTGCAGTCATTTTCTCAAATATATTCATTTTTGAAGTCAGAATTATTAGCCCCCTTTTAAATTTTTTGTCCTTTTAAAAATATTTTTTAAATAATATTTAACAGAGCAAGAACTCTGATAATGTCTGATAATATTTTTTCTTCTGAAGAAAGTCTTATTTGTTTTATTTGCCTAGAATAAAAGCAGTTTTTAATTTTTTAAAACCATTTAAAGGTCAAAATTATTACCCCTTTAAGCTATTTTTTCCCGATAGTCGACAGAACAAACCATTGTTAAACAATAACTTGCCTAATTATTCTAACCTGCCTAATTAACCTTAACCTAGTTAAGCCTTTAAATGTTATTAAAAGTTTCGTGAAAAATAGAAATGAGTTATTAAAACTATTATGTTTAGGAATGTGTTGAAAAAAATCTCTCCATTCAACATAAATTGGGGAAAAAATAAACAGGGGGATATTAATTCAGGGGGGCTAATAATTCTGATTTCAACTGTAAATCTGATGCAGCCTCTGTGTCCATTCTGTCAAAGTAGGTACTGCTCATCCAGTTCACTGTTCATCTATTTACCTAGCTGTTGTTAATATTATATGTAGTGCAAATAGGTGAGACTTACTAACTTGATCAGGGGGGAAAAGTCATTAAGCATAAAAAAAATAAAATAAAAAAAAATACTGGGTGCATTGATATGTCGTATCCTAAAACTTTACTAACCTCCCTTTTAACCTCCTGCTAATAAATTTGTATATTGGGACATTGCCAAATATGTGAACATAGTCCCAGACTTCTCCATAATTACTCCAGCACTGTGATAATTTTCTAGAACTATCGAATTTGGCGACCACTAATGGATCTTTATTCATTCATTCATTTTCTTTTCACCTGTACCACATGTCTTTGGGCTGTGGGGGAAACCGGGGCATCCGGAGGAAACCCGACCGAACGCAGGGATAACATGCAAACTCCACACAGAAATGCCAACTGACCCAGCCGAGGCTCAAACCATTGACCTTCTTGCTGTGAGGCGACAGCACTACCTACTGCGCCACTGCGTCGCCCAGTAGAACTACATCTTCCAGATAATTCTGCACGTTTGTTCATTTACGAGTGTTTGCAAATGAGTGTGTATCAATGTTTCCCAGTACTGAGTAGAGCTAAAAGGGCATCTGCTGCGTAAAAAAAAGCTATGCTGAAATAGTTGGTGGTTCATTCCGCTGTGGTGACCTCTAAAATAAAGACTAAGCTGAAGTAAAAT